TAGCTTAAACCTATTAAATACAGTTCTCTTTTTACCCTTTTCTTGAACGAGTCGTTGAGTAGACTAGCTTCCTCTGCACGTACTAGTGTACGTGTAATTCGTGGCACCCCAAACAAAGGGTGCTTCGTTACAGTAACCTTGGTTGATACGTATTTAATTAAGCAATCCATGAGCAGCACGTAAAGATTACCTATCTCGGGTAATATTGGCAGAAGATTGTCACGCTAGAGAATCTCCCTATTGATACCGTTCGGTGTCAAAATTATGTAACAGGCCACCCCGGACAGAAGTATGCAAATGGAAAGTTGTGCCATGATCGCAAAAAAACACGCACACGAACGACGATTATAAAATTCGCTCTTGTGTTGTACACACAGCTGTCATCCTCAAGTACTATGCCCTATATCAGGAATACCCAGGTGCGCATTTAGTTTTTTCGCAGAACAAGAAGCCAGAATGACTTCGACTCATTAGTCGTCATTCATACAGGCGCCTGACAAAGAAGTTGTAGGTTAGAAAAGTGAGCCTAAGGCGTCGCAACCTCAGTAGCGTGATTGACGCATGACAAAGAAAACAAAGCATGATAACAGAGTTTTATCTATCGAGTCGAGCGCTCCTTAATGCAGCCGGGATAGCCAGAAAACCCGAACGGCATCAGTGACATGGTTTCCCCGGCTTTTGCGGTACCATGGTTAAGCACTACGACAGATCGTATCAAGCGGTGGATAGAATGAATGCTTTATAACAAACGGCTCTCGCTTCTACATGAAGATATTGTCAACCTTCTTGATATTTGATAAACTTCAGGTTATTGCTCGTGGCCAGATCAGGATGAGTGGTGACATGTCTGTGGCCCACGTTTCGCCTAATGGTCTGGCATGTAATTTCCACTCCAATCTCCCAGTCTGCCACAAACGCGTCTACTTTTCAAATATGTGGTACTCAGGCATACATGGGAGGACTTACACATTTTTAGGCGACTAAAGCTACGAACCGATTTATCGAACATTTGACTTGTGTTGCTTATAACACAATGACACCTGCTCGAATAAGTTTCGGATGATCCGAACGACTTTAGGTCTATTAGTCATGTACATCGACATAGCCAGTGAATCGATCACGACAACCAAAAGGGATGCAAGACCGCGGTACCCGATTTAGAACGGCGTGGAGCAGATTCTGAATCAGGAGAGCGGGTCGCTTGGCGTGGAATATAAATAAGTGCACATCGATCTTTATGAGCATGGTCGCTACATTGATGGTGGGAAGATGTAAAGAGGCTGATGTCTCTCATCAAAAGTAACTATAGTGCGCATGAATAGACTGAAGCACCTTGAACCAGCTTTGTAATGAAACAGACGAGCGTCCAACCATGGTTCTAAGACGTTCATTCACCGTCTAGTTAGCATGAAGATTTCATCAAATAGATTCTAGTACTCTCCATCGTTGTTGCGAGGGCTCGTACTGCAGTTTCAGTGCGGGCAAGCTTCATCGCGGTAAGGTACAGATGATCCGAGAAACGCTTTTCATCCCACTTGCACGAGCATCATATTCCGCGTCAGGACCACCTTTGCGTCCTGAACAACAAGTCAAATTTCAGCTGCTGAAGACCTGAAACTACTGATTGCCATGACTCGAAGTTTCCATTGCGACGTGTAACAAAGCGTGACGTTGGTTGGGATCTAGAACGTTTCACACGACAGATCGACCAAGAGATCGCGAGCATTCAAAGATCACCTGTGCACGGGAAAGACACAGCAGTGATGATTATTCATGCGGGACGTGACAAAATGAGCTGTCGACGATTTTGCAAGCAATTGACACCATAAACAGCATGCAATCGGGTTTTACTTTGAGTGAGCATTTGTCAGCAGACTAGTTACCTGTAACCGGTCGAAAGGCGGAAATCTGTGCGAGTGAGTGAGAAGGTGAGGTATATTTAGGTACGCGTACGACCTGCTATATCCTGTCATCCGGCAACAAAGTTACCTAATCGACCGCTACTTTATATACTAGGTAGCGCTAGTCCTCGCACAGCAGAGCGCCTACGCGCAGACTCCTGTCTCGAGATAATCAGGTTCCTCGAGGTCAGCCCGGGGCCCTGTATGACGAGTTGATGGTCGGCTTGAGAGGTCTCCAACCAATGATTGACATCAGTGTCAAGGAAGTTTGAAGCCTCCTGGACCAGACCTGGGTTCGAGATAGCGTGCATTTGAATAGAAGATCCCGTGTCCATAGCGATATTTGCCAGTCGATCCGCCATTTTGTTGAAGGTGCGGTATTGATGTCCCCAGCTGGCGACATCAATATCGTTAGAGATGGCACGTGCTTCGTTGAATAAACGCACCAAGTGCGGCTTGCGTGGAGGGTGTTGCGTTCGGAGTTGAGAAAGTACAAGCGCACTGTCCCCAATGACGTGCAGGGGTGAGTAGTCGCCTGTCTTTGCTTGCCGAAGACCATGCACGAGCCCCCAATATTCAGCGACATTGTTAGTAGTATCGGCAGATGCATAAGCCATACTTGATACCCACAGAACGCATGCGGCGTGAGTCGGAACGTGTAGTCGTACAATCACAGACCCGGCTCCACCTGGACCTGGATTTCCGCGGGAACCGCCGTCAAAGAAGAGGAGGTAAAGCTCGCCAGGGAGCCGGTCGATAGGCCGGACTAGTAACGAAGGAGGTTCATCGTAGCAGAGTAGGGTATCAGCCAAGGCCGACCGTACCTGCGCAAACAGTTGCCCATCTTCCCCCACCTCGGGCTGATAGGTTGATCGCCGAAACCGTCTGACCGACCGACGAAAGCTCGTCTTGGCGCTGGCTATGTGCACCTCCTGTGATAACGACGAGTCTTCCATGCAGCGGAGGCGCTCGACCCAGATTGCATGAAGGGTCGCTGATACGACAAAACGCCACAGCTCTCTAGCTGCCGGAAATATAGCAGCCTGAGCTTTTGATAAATTAGTGCCTGGGTCCATGGATTGCTTAATTACATCCCAGGCGCAGGGTGGAATCGCCGGGAGGTCCAGGCCAAACACCCAAACATTCAATTCAGCCTCCTGGAAAGTTCCAAGCCATCGCCACCGATCAAGGAGAAACTCCCAGTGACGACGCGCACTAGAGCATGTCCAAAAGATATGGCTTGCCAGAGCTGGACCAGCATTCGCACACTCAGGGACCGGGCAAGACAGATCTTGCTTCGCCCAATTCCAGAGCGGAAAACTGTTACTCTTTAGCCTATACAGCGTCTGAGCGTTTGTCGGAAAGGACGCTCGTATTCGTCGAATGTCCCTCCAAGTAATCAATGTTGTACCTTCCGAGATCACGTGAAAGTCCGTCGTTGCCACACGTTCATCAAGAAGTCTAGTCCCTACAGCACGGCGCCGCCGGGTGATAATCTGTTTCAGTTTACGTCGTTGCGGCCGCCACATTCGTCGTCCAGCCCACATGCGGACAACGCGAGTAAGCGCCGGATGCTCTCCAAAGTGAACAGGAGACTTACTAGCTGTTGACGCGGCTATATCGCATGCCGCCATCGACGCGACCGGTTGCACTCCACATTCCAGGCCCGTATCGAAATGTCTGAGCGACTTACCGTCGCCAGTTAGAAGCCAGTCATGGAACTGGTGCACCTTTGTAGAGTATGCAATCACAGACCCAGGCTCCAATGGTCGATATACCAGTGACGGGAAATTGTAAAGCAGCGCGAGGCAGAAGGACCCAAAATGCCGTCGCTTTGCCATAGACTGGGACGCCATGTCACGCGTAGGAGAGAACAAGACCATGCCACTCTGCAGGGTCGTCCACGTCATTGTCTCGCCAAGGTAATTCAAGTTTCGCGCAAAGTCGGCCCCGTTCAAGCTGTATGCCTTACCCTGTCGATCTCTGAGCCACGACATATCCTTAAGCGTGGCGTATGCCAGCCACCGGTGGTCAAATCGCCCTGATGCTGCTACATCAGCTCGCATCCCAACGCGCAATCTGTCATCAATAACCCGCCGAACATCAATTGTGACACTACCGTCTTCATTATAGGCGACTGCTGCTCTCGACGTAAACGACAAGGCTCGTCTACAGACCTCGCTGACCGCACCTTGGCGTGCATGTTGAGCCGAAGAAAGTCCAACAATTTCAGACCCGGTCAGCCAAAGCGTCGCGCGATATCGAGGGAGCTTGTCTTCCGTCCAACAAGGCGTAATGTAAGCCGTACCCGACCCGGTAGATCCCCATAAGAAGTCACCAATTAGTAAGTCTCTCGAAGAGACAGTAGCAGCCCATTGTCCAACTGCTGTTGCCGCCATCGTCATCAATTCCGTCCGAATACAGGGAACCGCTAGTCCTCCCTGCTGGATAGGTAAGGCCGCTATCTCGGAAGATACCCAGGGTCTGGATCGCTTTCTATCTCGGACACCCCATACAAAGTCCATTATTAAGCTGTGCAACCGGGTAACCACTGCAGGAGGAGGCCAACAGTGCCGTGCTAAGAAGTTAATTTTGGGCACCGCAATAGCACTTGCTAGCAGAGCACGTTGTTCCACTGTGTGCGTCTTCTCGCGGGCTAAGACAAGTCGGCTCCATATAGAACGTATGCACTTATTCCAGTTATCGGCCACCGCGTCCTGTTGTCCCACCAATACACCAAGATACCTGCAAGAGTCACTAGGGGCCTGCAGAGTGAGACCACAGGTGCTAAAAGGTTTCTCTGATCCGCGAGGGTCCAGCTCAATGATCATTGATTTCGACCGATTCGTCCGGAGACCCGACACATGAGCAAATTCCTCTAGAATAGCTACAACAGGCGTAACCGAGGACCGATCGCGAAGGTAGACAGCAGTATCGTCAGCGTATCCCGATACTTTGAACTCTGTAGCCCGCCCTCCAGTGGAGATAGGCACCCCCCGAATGTCCTCCCGCGCTTGTAGCACCCGATAGACACTATCGAGGGCTAAAATAAAGAAAAGTGGCGCAAGGGGACATCCTTGCCGTATTCCACAAGTAACGTCACGTCGACGAGAGCGGTATCCATTCACAAAAAAATCGGCAGGTAGTGTCGTGGTGTAATGCTGCCACGACTGATACGAAATGAGGCGAAAACCCTAGCCATGTCAGAGCCGAAAGCGCATATGGACGTTGCAACGTGTCGTAAGCCTTGGCAAAATCGAGAAGTAGCACAATGGCTCCATGTAGGCTGCTGTCCAAAGTCGCAGCTTTGCGTACCGTCGCGAAAATGTCAAGAGCTGTATGGATCGACCTCTTTGGAACAAAACCAACTTGAGCCGGCAAAACGAGATGCGACAATAATGGCCGTACCCGAAACGAAAGAATCTTGGTAAATAACTTGTAGTCGCTGTTGAGGAGAGCAATCGGGCGATGATCGAGCGGCAAGGCGGAGGACGCAGATTTCTTCAAACACTGAATGTTCGCTTCACCGAAGGAAGACGGGAACACGCTGCACGTAAGCCATCTGGTGTAGAATGTAGCGAGTACTGGACTGAGCGCTTCCGCGTAATCTCTGTAAAACGTGTTGTTAATTTTGTCCGGTCCCGCGGCTTTCCCACGTTTTAGCCTCTTTAAAGCCGCACTCACGTCATCGGGGGAAACGGCCGACATCACAGTAGTGTCATCAACTGGTCCTGGCGGGACTGCCCGGGAAAGAAAAGTGGCGGTAGCGTCGGGACAGGCAAAGGAATGAGTCATAATACGCTCCCAGCCATCCGCCATTTCATCAGCCAGCTCTTGAGAATGATTTGGCCCGTATGCAGCCTTTCCGCCCAAAGAAACAATGGTGTTGTCTTGAAATTTAGTCGCCACCCGGGCGAAAAAACGTCGAGATGTTTCTCCAGGAGTATACGTGTGTTGAACAAGAAGGCGCTCTTTTTTGGATCTCTGCCATAAGCGTCGACACCCCGCAACATTACGCCGCAGTCCAACCGGAGTATCGGTGGTGCTAGGCTTGTTGCAGTCCTTATGAGCTCCTGGTGGTGAGTTATCAAGTGTACGCACCACCAATAGAGCTGCGTCCAGTCTTACATAGAGCCGACGTAGCCGCTGCCGATAGCTTGTTGTCATACCTTGACGCGCGTTCTTGGTCGTCGCCAAAAGAACTTTGCGAAGCCTGATCTTCCATTCATCCCCCCAGTCGGCCAATCTACGGGCCGTGATATAGTCCGACGGCGGAACAGAAAGAGTATCGTCCGCTTTAAGCTGTGCCAGCTTAATGGCCGCGACAATTGCTTTATGCGCGGCTGTGTTTGCACAACCTGGAACAGGGTACACGTGCCTCGGCTTACGTACACGGACCACATAACGCGGCACTCCAATACTGATACTGATGCCATTGTGGTCATCTGCTGGACCAGGAACTGACAAAGCAACGCCACGAATCCAATCAGCATGGCGAGAGCTCACATACCACCGATCCAGTCGGGAACTAGCCAATCCACCGCCCGGAAGAGTGTAGAAATAAGTGTGAGAGGCCGCATGAAACGCCGGCACATCTCTTTCTTCTTCGGCCATCTCCAGATCACCATCAAGAACATCGCTAAGCTGCACTCGGCCGAGAAGCCGCCGAAGCGCCAAGGAATCATGTCTTCCTGGCGGCGAGACAAAAGAACGGTCAAGTCGCGGCTCCAAAGTACAGTTGAAGTCCCCTCCAACAAACATGGGTCCTTCGTATCCCTGAAGAATAAGTATAAGGCTCGAGAACAGCGCCTCTCTTTCAGTCTTGGTACTTGGGGCGTAAACGTTTACAACAAGAACTGTTTCGCCCATTAGACAGACCCGGACAGCCATCCAATGCTGTGTCCATTGATCCTCATACCACGGAACCATTTCCGTAATTGTTGAGTATGGGTTTAATAAAATAGCCACACTTCCACGAGAGAACTCGGACTCGGTCCACAACGAGCGTCCGAGTTTGTGCACGAATCCCCAGGAGGAGTTGTAAAGCTTGTCCAGAGGAGCTGCCTCACCTAAAGTGACCCGCGTTTCCTGTAAAAGGACCAAATCGATGATTCCCCTGGCTTCGCTCTGTCGGAAGTGGCTGAACCAAGTTGCGCAATGTTCCGGATTCTTGGGAAATCCCGCGACATTCTGCGAATGGATACCTATGCTGTTGTCGCGTGGAATACATGAGGTCTTAAAAAGGCGTCTTTGACGACGTTGTGGCATGTGCCGCGACGATGCATCCTCTAGCTCAGCCGAGACGCCCTCAGCACCTAGAGTCCAGCAGTTGACCATCTTTAGCGATAAGGTCAAGGGCCGGCTGCCAGTTGGCAGGTGTGCATATAATGCTAATCACCGCCGCGCGCACCTCTTTGGAGAGGTGATATAGTACAGCCTTGGTTTGCGGCATTACCACGTTCGTCTTAACCTCAATGGGTGCGAGCTTCGGGAGCAATAAACACAGAACATTGAGGACTTCCCACTGATCCAAGTCAGAAAGCAGTTCGACGACAGTCGCGCACAGCAAATCGGGCTGTATCTTACTAAAGCGTCTCCAGCGTTGTATATTGTCCGTCGTTCTCCATCGAATATGACCGGTTTGCGCGTCTGCCGTGGCGGCCCAACCCTTGCACAGCTCGCGAAGTTCTTCATCTGCGTGTGTGGTGTGTCGCCGAATTACAGCCAGTTGAGATTCACTGTTGATGGAATGTCCAAAAGACCGTAGGGTTTCACCCGACATCGAGGCAAGGTAAGCAACAGGATAAGGTCGTCCACAGACGAGTCCCGCCAAGTCCAAGGTGCACGCGTTTATCCAGGCCATTTGTCCCTTAGGTCCAACTGGCATTGTAGTCGGTAGTGCAGCCATCGCTTTGTGCAGGCTAACCCATTTGCGAATCGCCGCTGTGTTCAATGAAATTTGTTTCATGCTCTCCGGCACTGCAGCAGCCGCCACCGCAGCAGATGCGCTATCTGGAATTTTGCGAATCCTTGTTGCGCGTAAAGTCTGATCGTGAGGATCGGGAGCGCGACATTGTTCCATCGGGGACCGGACCGCTACCTGCGTACAGAGACCACCCATGCTAGCGGTAGGACGTGTTAATAAACTAGAGGCACCCGTGTCGGAAACTCCAGACGAGGCCTTAAGCTCTTCCTCAATTGCCTTGGCTAGATCCGCTGGAATAGGTACACTAGCGGCACAGGGAGGCGGAGTAACTGCCCCTCCATTTAAATCATTCAAGCACATAGTGTTCCCGAACGTAACCGTGCTCTCCGCCATAGTAACATCGAAATCTTGGGGACGCTGCCCGTCCGATTCTGGGGGGCACATCGGCGGTAGATCCGGTGGACCCGGATCACGAGGCGCCTTCGCGGTAGGTACCGTACCAAGAGGTTTATCGATCGGCTCACTTGGTACACCCCGTTTGCGGCGCACATACGAAGCCAACAAGCGTTGTATCATGGACCGACTCCGCTCTCTACTTCTTGCTGCCATCTCCGTAGGCATCTCGCGAGGTGGTGTATCATCTTGCGGGGCCGTATCTTCGGTCACAGGCTTCGGTTTCGGTGTAATCTTTGCCAACCGACGTGTCAGTGTTTCGAGGGTTTTCGCTGCTATCGTTGCATCCGCATTCGCTCGGTTCGCCGTCGCACCTGCGGTGCGGTATTCGTACTCCATCCTCAGCAATTCCTCACTGACTTCTTCAGGAGAAGTAGGTTCTCTATTACTCGTTTTCTCAGTAGCAGTAGCCACTTCGAGTGCCTGAGCGTGAGCCGCAAAGTAGCATGATTTCGTGGTGTCTGCCGCGCGCTGCTTCTCTTCGGCTGCTAAATTAAGTTCCTCGACCGTTTTTTGTGCGGTTGCTACTTGCGATCGAACGGCCTCAAGGGTCGCCTCTTTTAAATTCGTCGAAGGCAGCGCCGAATCGACCCCCGGATCAATCGGTGCAGGTTCTGCAACTTCCTCATGAGCACCACTCAATATGTGGTCCAGTTCCCGAATCGCCAGCGTGCGCTGGGTGTCCGCCTTCGAAGAAGCGGAGGGTGGTGGCGAAGAATGGACCGTGTTCGATTGCCCTTTTTGACGAACAGTTGCCTTAGTCTGTTGAGGTGGTTTCTTTTTGTCAGCGACCGTGTTCGTGGAAATAGTTTGGGCAACAGCCTTCGACTTCGGGAGTGGTGACTTTCTTGCACCTCCATCTTTGTTGAACTGCGGATGCTTGGGTAGCTTCACAGCAGGTCCTGTTGCCCGACTAGCCGGAACATCTGCGGGGCGCACATCCCTCTTTTTCTTGTTCGCTCCAGGATCGAACCACTCGTTCGTCATTGGACCACTGACGCGAGTAGCCCCGCCCCGAACGGCCTGTCCACCGGCAAGCGGAGACGTGTTCGGAACTGACGACTGCCCAGCACAAGGAGGTACCTGCGAGACCTCACTTAACAGTGGGGCCTTGTTGCCATCAGCCTTTAACTCCGCCGTGGTTGCCACCAAAGTATCCGCCAGTCCAGAGACATGCTGCAGGCGACCGGCAACGTCCAAGTGGTTAAAAGTCAACCCACTGACGTGAGGAGGAGCTATTGGAATACCAGTAAATTCTCGGTGATGCTGAATTTGAAAAGCGCCTTTGCGTCCACCACACTTAGCACTCGAGTGATATGGCGAATAGCAGGAAAAACAGGGAACGCGTTGAAAGTGACGAAAATGGTGGGAAAGATCTCCGTTTCGGATGTTGCGATGTGCGTGACCAGCTTGAGTTGCTCGGGACATGACACCATGTCAAAAGTTGCCACGAAAAAGTTGGAATCATATGCCTCCGAGCCGAGTGGGCACCCACGAGACACGGATGTGACCGTACAAGCCACACTAGACGCCAATATAGCTTGAACCGTGCTTGCCGCCACTCCATTGACCAAAATCCGGACTTGGTATTGCAATTGGTGTCTACCGCTTGACGTGGCTAATAGCGAAGGAGCAGTAATGTCTTCGCGCTCCATAGTGGCCGGGCACAACAGCTTAAGACGCTTTCCGCGAAACAAAATCATCTTTGCATGCCAGCTTGCTGCTGCCGCTTTATACGGCATAATGAAAGTCAGTCGCCTCGTTTCGGCATCGTAACCGGTCCGCTTGGCGCCCTTGACCAATTCCCGACTCATGACATCGGACTCCGTCTGCCCCTCACTGCGTTCCAAGAGCTGGAGTAGCAACGTTTTCTCGGTGATGTACTGAGGCATGCGCACGTACGGAGGGACAATCGCAATGACCTTCCCTTCCAGGTACTCTTCGAAAAAATCAAGCATTACAACTCGCGTAGCCCTCGGGTGCGTGCACACCAAAAATCCAGGCGGAGACTGGAGCATGATAGCCCCCATCATCCATGCCGCTAGAGCCTCTGTAACGGGGCACCCTGAAGCTTGTACTGGTGACAGTACAAGCTACTTATTCTGATAACAGAATAAGGCGGTGCCTCGTAACTTCACGTACACTCGTACGTGCAGAGGAAGACGGTAAGAAGAAGCGAGTACTCGGTTAGAGTAAAAAGTAGAACTGTATTTATAATAGTTAATGTCTGCAATAAATCACTATTTATCTTCATCTAACTATGTCTAAATACAAATGTGTAAATCAGTTATCTGCTCACCACTCATTGCGTGCGTCTGTCGTGGCGCGTCTTCGTTGGTTGATATAATGGCCTATATCAACCAATTAGGAACTACTTGGAAGTGCTACAGAATATTGTCCTTATGACAATATTCTGAGAATATAACTCTTATAGTTATATTCTATTAACAATTTCTTATAAATTGTTATGTAACGATTCACCCCGTTACATCACCCCCCTTAACCATCAGTCACTTTAGTGACTGATTGACTAAATGGATACTCGTCCCAAATCATTTGGGACGGGGTTTGCACTTGTTGGTCCGCGTCCACTTTCCAACATCTCATCGCATGGTAAACAAGCCCATGCGATGCGCGAGCAAGGCCGCCGAGAGCGCGTCTGCACGTCTCTGTGCGGACGCCGAAGCAGAAACTACAGCAACTGATATCCCATCGGTTGCTGAATCGACTCAGCCTGTATCACCTGGTGATGCAGGTGCTGGTCATGAAGACACTCGTGTCTTCACAGAGTACGAGCTCGGTGTCTCGTACTCTCCTGATACGGATGACGGATCCGTATCGACGGCAATTGAATCCAAGCCGCCTGCCAAGCGTGGCATGGACGATGCTTTGCGTCGCAGCATCTTTGGTTCATCTGATGAGTCAGATGAACCATCGCCGAAGCGAAGGCGCTCGAGGTCGCGAGACTCGGGCGCTAATAGTGGTGTCGTTTCTCCAATGGACACCACTTCACAGCGAGGTGCCAGTACTTCTGTCGGCACGTCGCAGGAAGAGCGGGACCGCAATGTGTTGCGTCTCGCTCCCGAGAAGAAGGCATGGATGCCTCCTAAATCTGTCATGGATCACTTGTCGGCGACGACGAGTGATCGTTATCGAACACGATTGTTCGATTCGTCGAGGATTCATCACCTTGACCCCAGCGCGAAAGACTATCGCGCTGAACATGAGTTCTTCATCGATGCTTTCTTCAGACATCGATGGTACAGTGGGAATCACAAACGTGATGGTCCCTCACTACTTCAGGCGTGGAACGCCTACATCCATAATCTCGAGGATGTAGGTCGTGACGCTTGGAACGACAAACTTATCAAAGCTCGTGATAAGTTTGAAAAGCGAACCCCGACAGGTGCACGCTATAAGCTGCATCGTCTGTCAAGGGAGAAAGGATTACCCTGCCTCTCTTGGGGAGACTCGTGCCCATGTTGTGTGAACAACTCTGCACGAGCACCTAAGGAGGCTTACCTCCTTACCAGCCCGTGGTGGCGCGTACGTGTCTCTACTGAGATGTACGAAGGGATTGACAACCTGAAATCCCTTTACGACCGTGCCGGGAAGACTTTCTCCGGCGGTCCTTCTGCGGCACAGGATGTGTCGCGTCGTACTGCTCGACCAGACCCAGTACGTCAACCATCAATTGGGAGCGGGGCTCCCAAGAATCCCCAGGACGGGGGATAGCCGCGCCACCGGACGAGGTAACTCGTCCGACGTCCGTTCACGTCGCGGTGGTTCAACAGCTGCTCTACTAGATAGCGCTGGCCACCGCGAGAGTCCTCTAATGGAGGTGGAGGAGGAGGAAAGACGCTCTCCACACGATCATGTGGATCGGTGTGTTCCCGAGAGCTTCTTTGATCGCGTAACGCAAGGGTTACGCGACGATCTCGAGCATGAGCGGAATAGGCGTCTCCAGATGGTGGACACTGCCTCGAAGCATCGAGCTGAGTTTGCCTTTGCTCAGCTTGAGAACGAGAGATCTCTGACATCTCTTCGTGACGAGCTAAGGGTAGCTCGTGGGATTGTTGATCGGTCTCGGGCTGAGATAACTGCTCTTCAGACCCTTGTTGATGCCCACCATCAGGAGCACAAGGCTCTCTGCGAGATGCTTGAGCGCAAGGGCGTTCTTCATCGGAAGAAGCAGCGTACTGATGGTACGGCTTAAGCCGACCAACGTAAAACGTGGGATGCGTTCGCATCTTACGTGGTAACTCGATCGTGTATGCATTGCCTAGGCGGTGCAATACACGAAATGGGCCAATGTACTTGGGTAGTAGTTTACTGCTACCCAAGTTAGTCACTACATGTTTTGGTAGATTAACCGTAGACAGTAGGACTAAGTCACCTTTATTAAATAAAAGAGTGTTTGCCCTTCCATTCTTGTCAGCGTTTTGCTTTTGCTTATCCACCGCTTCGGCGATGGAGTCTTGCACAAAACGGACTACCGTTTCACGAGCCAGTATGAACTCATCTGATGACTCGTTAGCTTCAGTGTGCTGTGAGCGCACTGCAGCGACAACAACCTTTTCTTCAGTGAGGGCTTCCGCACTCTCACTGGGATCATTGTCTTCAGTGAGGGCTTCCGCACTCTCACTGGCATCATCTTCTTCGATATCGATGTTATCGATATCGGCATCAAACGCAATGACTTCTTCGTCAGAGCGTGATGAGCGTGAACCAAATCGGTTTTTGCTCGCGCGAGTCCCTCCCCCCTTAAACCAGAGTTACACTCTAGTAAGGTGGGTACACGCGGATGGCGCAAGCCATTCACGTAAAACGGTGTATGTGTCGTGGACGCATGCACCGAGTTGTTGATGGCAAACTCTACCATTGGCAAAAACTCACTCCAACTTTTAAAGGAGTGTACGTATCCTCGAAGTATCTCTTCAAGGACACGATTGGCACGTTCCGTCTGACCATCTGACTCTGGATGATCAGATGTTGACATCTTCAAGCGCGTTCCGAGTGATTTGAACACGGAACGCCAGAAATCAGCAGTGAATCGTGGATCTCTGTCTGATACGAGTTCACGGGGCAACCCATGAAGTCGGAAGATGGTGTCAATAAAGACACAAGCACAGCCACTTGCCGTGATTGTCTCTGGTACAGCCACAAGGTGTACCATTTTGCTGAATCTGTCAACAAATACGAGAATACCCGTATTCCCGCGTGCGTCTTTGGGTAACCCGAAGACGAAATCCATTGAGATGGATTCCCAGCACTCAGCCGGAACCGGTAGAGGCTGTAAAGGTGCACGCAGTGAAGGACTTGACTTCACTCGTTGGCAGACTTCGCATGCGCGAACATACTTTCGCACAAACTGATACTGGCGGGGCCAGTAAAAGTCTCGACTTACCGTGAGATATGTTTTCTCTCGGCCACGATGTCCTCCTATAGGAGCATCGTGATACTCGAACATGATCCGCAAACGCAGATCAGTATCATCTGGAATGACAACACGTGGTGTGTCACCAGAAACGGCTGTATAGTACAGTAAACCGTTACGAGTAGTGTATCGATCTGATGCAGATCGATACGCAGAACGACAATCGTTTCAACGATTCTCGAGATGGTTGGGAGAGATGTGACAACAACTTCACTATCTCACCATCTTGGGCGTATGCCCGCCTCACATCATCATACAACGTTGTAGATGGAACTGAGGACGTCATAACCGCAACAGTGACTGTCTCACTGTTGGGTTTCGCGACTGTTTCAAAGTCGGGACGACGTGAGAGTGCATCAGCGACGACATTAAGTCGTCCTGGTTTGTACTCGACCGTAAAGTTGTATTCTGCAAAGAATGACAACCACCGCGCCATTCGTTGTGAAAGGTGCGGGCTGTTCACTGCCGTGCGTAAGGACGCATGGTCAGTGTAAACAACGAAGGGTCTATCTCTAATAGATAGACTCTGAACTTCGCTAGTGCATACTTCATGGCAAGGAGTTCCTTGTCATGCACTGGATAGTTCCGCTCAGCTGGTTGCAGCTGACGCGACTGATAGCAGACGACGCGTTCAACGCCTTCAAGGTCGTACTGCATTAATGCACAGCCGATTGCGAAATCGCTGGCATCACAGACCACATGAAATGGCCTGTCCTGATCGGCTATTGCTAGGACTGGGGATTGTATCAAGCTCTGCTTGATACCCTCAAAGGAGCGTTGACATTCAGCGTTCCATAACCACCTCTCGTTCTTTTTCAACAAACGAGAGAGGTGTACAGTCATCTCGGCGTAATTGCGTGAATACTTATGCAAATACGCCGCTAGATAAGGAATTTTCGAAGACCTTTGACATCGACCGGCACAGGCCAGTCGGTGATCGCCTTGATCTTTTCGGGATCAGGACGTACACCGTTCTTACCAACGATGCACCCAAGAAGTGGTATTTCGCTTGCTGCAAATATACACTTCTTGAGGTTAACATACAATTGATGCTTTCGCATGATTGTAAGAACTTGTCGGACGTGGTACCTGTGAACCTCAACGTCCGACTTTCCATCCATAGCTCGACTATGGATGAATACGTCATCGAAATAACTCGGCGCGAACTCTCGTACTGGTCTCAACAGATGTGATACACATCTGTTGAACGTGGCAGGGGCATTACTGAGCCCTTGTGGCATTACTAGCCATTCCCAGAGCATGCCGCTAGGCGTGCTAACTGCGGTATAGGGTATATCCCGTTCCCGCATTAGGATTTGATAGAAGCCATCCATCAAATCCATGGACGAAAAGATGGTACTCTTTGACATACCATCAATGATTACGTCCTTCCTCGGTATCGGCGTCTGAGCCGGTACCGTTGCAGCGTTCAATTTGTTGAACGCGTGCACTATCCGCCACCCTCCTGTTGCTTTTCGCACACAGAAGGTCGGAGAGCTATGTGGGGAAGTTGATTCCCTCACATGGCCCGCTGCTAAACGATCGGCAAAGAACTTGTCGATCGCAAGTACTGTTCACGAGGCAGTGGCCACTGCTTCATGACACAGTACTTCGAGCCTGGTTTAAGCTCGACTTCGTGTCGAATACCTTTATCCTTCGGTAATTCGCACGGAACAGTTTCAGGGAATACATCCTTGAATTCAACCAAATCCTCATAGAGAGGGTTTTCCTTGAGCGATTCCCATGATTGGGACTCATATCGCTCAATTCGTGTCTTTTCATCTAGGACACTCTCGTCCATAGATGAACTACTGAGAACTCTCTCGTTCTCAGTAAACACTGTTGCTGACCTTATGTCGGTTACATACTCGTCGTCAGCGACGAGTATGCAGATCTGCTTGACTTTGCCACTACGCAGATCACGCAAGAACCTTTTATGTTCGAGCGTTGGCAACTGAGTGATCTCCGAAGTTAACTTCGGAGGCGCAATCAGATCAAGTGTATAAGCGCCTACACATGATCCGTTATTGACTATGACATTCAATGTCTCTGTCATTTCCTGGGGACTTATTCCCTCAGGCTTCGAAGGACTTATTCCTTCGTCTTCCCGGGGACTTATTCCCGCGGGTTTCGGGGAACTTATTTCCGCCGTATTTGTAATCTTGGGACTTATTCCCTTTACTTCCTCTAGCTGGGGTTGCGCAACCACAGCGAGATCCTCTACGAAAGACTCTCCAGTCGATCTAGGATTATCGTTTCGCTTAACCTGAGCGATCGATTGTTTCTCTTCTAGATGTTCCCCTCTAGGGATACATCTTTGTCCCAGTCCACCCGACTTATTCGAGTGGTGGACCTTCGGCGCAGCCTGTGTTTCCTCACAGCCGCCGGAACTTTGCTCCGAAGTGTAACCGTTTGGTACACTAAGGTTTTGTGCAGTCGTACTAACGACCGTACCACAAGTGAGGCCATCGCACTCACTCGTAGTACATCCACACGCTTGTGGACGCTCCAAAACGTTCATCAGATGGCCATCTGATGAACAAGCGGCAGGCATCGTTACTGTCCGATGTTGCCAGTTTACCCGTGGTTCGTACCTTCTGAGCCACGGTATTCCAAGGATGACATCAAATTTGTCATCCAAATCCAATACGATAAAGTCATCGTCGTATTGGGTATCTTCTAGCGTATAGTGAATCTTCACTATACGCTTCATGACGTTTACGGATGCGCCTGTCGCAAGACGTACCGTCATCCTCGTAGGAGGTGTGTCACATTCACTGAATTTAAAGTGACCATCTTCTAGCGATTGGCGTCGCACAAAATTGTTGGACGCCCCACAATCGACTAGAGCTCGAAGGGACAACTTATTCGTCACTTCGAGTTTCAAGGTAATGAGTGAGATCTCATTACCTAGAGCAGCAACGCACAATGTCTGTGTGTTGGGAGCAACCTTCATCAAGAGGCCTACAAATTCTCTTGACGTTGCTGGATCAGTAGGGTGCTCCGCACCTACTGATCCTGTCCGTTTTTTGACGGTCCATCCCGTTGTTGCGTCTTTGCACCAACTGCGGACCCTCGTCCCTGCCCCTTTCTCATGGGTGGACGGTCACTACGCCCAGTGTCGCGAGACACTGGACGAGGGGCACTACACTCGTAAGCGTAGTGTCCTGTCTTTTGACATCTGTTGCATCTCTGCAACTTCTTGTAGCCTGTAGAGCGAGCCTTCTCGCTCTCTACATAACAGAGTTCCATCGGCTCTGGACCTCCGTTGTCATATCGTCTCGGTTGACGATATGATGTCGAGCTGGCGCGAGCCTGTCTCAGACTGAAGTCTTCCTGCTCCGCAATTGAAATGGCTTGTTCTAGTGAATCTAGTTCAAGCCGGAACAGGTGAGTCTTGACGGGACCATCCGCAAGACCCTGCATGAACACCGAAACCAACGTGTGTTCATCCACCGGATTGGAACTTATACAACTCGTGAGATGTCGTATATGTTGAGCGTAAGCGTGCACATCACGCTTACCCTGCTTGAGCTTCAAGAGTTCGGTTCGAGCTCTGAACTCAGCTCTAGGCGGTTCAAACGTTTGTCTGAGCCGCGACTTGAAGACTTCCAACGACCCAAACGCGTATGGGTCGTGCAGCTTGAGCCCCAGTGCCCAAGTCTTGGCACGTCCTGCCAGATTTGACTGGGCAAATGCAACTTGCATATCCCCGTCGTCGATGCGACGCGCCCTTATAGCGTCGTCCAATTCGACGAACCATCTCAAGAGGGAGTCTTCTTCGACCCCCTATACTTTGAGATGTCAATCTTCAAAGTCTCGGGCCGACGCGAGTGCATCGACCCGCCAGCAGCAGCCTGCTGCTGTCTCAACAGTTCAAACTGTTGAGCACCTTGTTCTCTCAACAACTCTGCTTGTTGAGAACCTTGTTGGTGAAGCAAGGCTACTTTCTCGCGTTCTGCGTCAAGTTCATTTTGAATGAACTTGGCGATAGTAGCATGTTGGGCATCTCTATTGAGAGCCTCTAGCATGACGCTAACAGCATGGATGCCCATGGTCGAACCCATTCGTTCAACCGCATCCCATTCGACATCGCTCAAATGGGAGTAGCCGTCACGCGTAGCGTGAAAGCTTTGGTCATCTTCATCATCCAACATATTCATGTTGGATGTGAACGCGGTCCTTGGACGGACTACGAAGTGCTACCAGGTGTAACGGGGCACCCTGAAGCTTGTACTGGTGACAGTACAAGCTACTTATTCTGATAACAGAATAAGGCGGTGCCTCGTAACTTCACGTACACTCGTACGTGCAGAGGAAGACGGTAAGAAGAAGCGAGTACTCGGTTAGAGTAAAAAGTAGAACTGTATTTATAATAGTTAATGTCTGCAATAAATCACTATTTATCTTCATCTAACTATGTCTAAATACAAATGTGTAAATCAGTTATCTGCTCACCACTCATTGCGTGCGTCTGTCGTGGCGCGTCTTCGTTGGTTGATATAATGGCCTATATCAACCAATTAGGAACTACTTGGAAGTGCTACAGAATATTGTCCTTATGACAATATTCTGAGAATATAACTCTTATAGTTATATTCTATTAACAATTTCTTATAAATTGTTATGTAACGATTCACCCCGTTACAGCCTCCTCTTCAAGCGGAATCATCGAACGGAGATCATCGTCTGATCTGTCGGTCCACACTCTCGTAGCCGCCCGCACCAGCACCCGGGTGTGGTCAGCAGATGAGCGCTGACTCCCATCCTCTTTGGAGTCAGCGAAAAGTCCCGGACCCTGCCCGTCTACCGTGTCGGCCCTTCCCTGCTCTGTTGCAGCTCTCACCGGTCGAGCCCGCAGACACCAACAAGTGAGGCTCATACGCCGACCCGAGATTTCGAGATCGAGCCACAACGTCACAGGAAAAAGCTCCCGCGATAGGAGAGGACCCGACCCGCGGTCCTTTCCCCTGTGCACCCCGTTCTGTAGCCACTGGATACTGACTATCTCCGTCAAGGAAGGAGTCAGCCACTGCGGCCGCGTACGAACGCCGATCAGTACGGGTCCCACAAATAGGCGCAGTAGTTGGGGGCCCGAGGCCGCCTGTCCAAGCTCGGGATTGGTCAGAATTCCCGTGCCCATCCCCTATCGTCTCGTCTTGCCCCGTCTTTTCCACTCCTATTGGCACGCTCTCGCCCGACACGGGCGTGGGCACACTCGAGCCACCTACCTCGTCATCACTCCATGCCACTCGCGTACGGTGCCCGGTTCCTCCGTCCACATGTTCGCCGTTTTTGAAGTCACCGCGCTCTTGGGTCGGCGAGGGCTTATTACTAGGCGCTAATTCGCCGATGTATGCGTGCATACTGCGTTGACACACTCCCCGGTGCCACAACGATTTGATTGCGTGATTGGCCGCAAATCTGGAAGTGGAAATCTGTGCGACAGTTGAGGGCGTCTCTTCGCTCGTTCTCTGGAAACTAAATACCGGGAGGGAACACGTCGGTTATCCGATTCTGCTTCCGTCCTGCTTGTTCCGAATGCTGCAACCCATTGCCGCTACGATCGGTAGGTGCCATCTCTCTCTCTCTCTGGTTTCTCTGCTGCTTTGAGGTATTGAAGGACTGAAGCGGCTATTAAGTGACGCTTCTTGCTGCAGGTTTAGCAACCGAGGGCAGACTGTGGCACTGGGTGCCTGCCAGCTATGCGAAGCTAGAGGAGACAGAGCGTAAGATCCTCACACGCGCGATATCAACACCATTTGAGATGAAAAAGGTCGCCCAATTGGGTACTCTGGTCGTACCGTGCTCGGACGAAAGCAAACGTCAAAACGCCGGAAACCTCGTGTTGATCCACGGCTTTGCCGGTGGTAATGCCGTCTGGGCATTGGTAAGGATGCATGTGCTGCGAGGAGTTCTACCGTCGTTAGCTTTGGAGTGATGACATGCTATCTGGTGTGTAATAATGCTGTTACGTGTGGCAGAATCTGGAGAAATTGTCCGAGTATTTTAATGTGGTGAGTCCACACACACACACGTTTGTTAGTAAACAGAACTCTGCTAGCACTCACTGTCGGTTCAATTATTCTCGTGTGGATGGTGGTAGTATGCGGTGGAGTGGATTGGCGCTGGTCGCTCGGATCGACCGGACTTTAACTTTAAAGATGTACGATCTTGCATCCGTTGCTTTGCTGTCCTCGACGCCAGCTTGCGCGTGTATATCTTCACTCACTTGTTTTCTTGTACAGTACGACAGCGCTGATGGGTTCATCATGGACTCTTTCGAGAAGTGGCAGCAGGAAATCAAACTCGAGCACTTCGACCTGTGCGCTCATTCGATGGGGGTAAGGGTCTTTACCGTGACATGAGCTGTCTCGACAATCACTTTGTTGCCATTGACAACCATTCATGCCTACTAATTTAGGCGATCTTCGCATCGTCGTACGCTTTGAAGCACCCGGAACATGTCAATGTATGCTTTACAAAACACGATGTGTGCTAAATGTATTCGACATCGTTGACCTCATTGTTTTTATGTGATGCAGCACTTGGTATTGGCATCTCCAGCCGGCGTTCCGCTTCCACCACCGCCCATCGACCAAACGACGAAAGAAGGCAAAGCCGTGAACAGCTCGTGGCTGAGACGCGTATTCATTGCAGCATGGGAAAACGGTATAACGCCCATGTCTCTAGCTCGGTTTGTCGGACCGTGCGGACCGAAACTTGTCCAGTACGTAGTGAACCGTCGAACCACATTCATGGTGGAGGGGAGCGCCATGCGCGATGGTCGCGTTGATCTCGATGAATTTGGGGAGTACATGTACCACAACTGGGCACTAAAGCCGAGTGGAGAGCGTGCCCTGACCACGCATCTCACTCCAGGCGCACACGCTGTCAGGCCTCTCGTGGCAAGGTTGCTTCCTGAAAGCGTGAAGATGCCGCTCACGTTTATCTATGGCGAGTACGACTGGATGGACTATCGCAACGGATTGGCCATTGTCGAGCGATTCAAGGACAACGGGCGTGCAGCTGACCTATACCGTGTGCCGAACGGAGGACACCAAATGTTCATGGAGAATCCAGAATACTTCAGCCGTATTTTGATCGAATGTCTGACAGAGTAGACACAATGCAGCAACACAGGGCAAAAGTACATGTAGATGGATAACCAGACTTCGGCCTTCATCTATTGTGGCTTTAGACGCGCTCGAAAAATCACAATGTCGTCTCCTTCCTGAAAGTCAGGATGCAATTCGGACCTGTCGATCATCTCAGCGTCAAACACCTTTTCGAACGCCTCGAAGAACTCCGCTTCCGTGTTCATGCGTTTTTTGTAAGCAAGCAAGATCAGCGTCTCGGGTCGAGCCAATTTTCGAAGCGATTTCATCAACGCTTCAAACGCCAAAGCGTATGGACATGCGACAATGTCAGCACCTAGAATCACGTCGTAATAACCACAGCCACCAATCCTTGGAACGAGTTCATGGTCCACGTCACCCCATAGGTACTTTTCAGCAGTGCAACCACTTTCAGAGAGGCCGTTGAGCTCGATATTTCGTCGAGTTAGTGCAACAGACGCAGGGTCTCCATCGGTGATGACGATATCCCTGGGCTTCAAATGGGCAGCTACGACTCCAACGAGACCTGGACCGCCGCCTAATTCAATTATCCACTTTCCTTCCACCACATCTCGATGGGAAGCCAAGTACAGCGACAACGCAATGGCTGCATCGTACACTGACGCGCCAAACCCTAATGCCGTGCCGCCTCGTCCGTCGTTCTGCCAAGCTTGATCAATGCGAATGCGCTTGCCAGCGATTGGGAACCAACGAGTGCTGTCACAAAGTGCATTGTGGAAGGGATTGCGGAAGGAAAACGGCACGAGCGCACGCGCTGAGGGCTCGTGAGGAGAGCGAGCGTCGCTATCTGCCATGGCAATCGAAGTTGTACAATTTCACACTGGTTCGCCACCGTTATTTTTCATAATGCAAATATTGCATTCGAAGGATCAAGTTGTAACTTTGTTGTTGTGATTGGCACGGCGGGTGCGACGTGGAGCGGCTTTTAAATAAATGCCAAGTTGAGCTGGTCGTCGAAAGGTTTGAGCAATGGAGCCAGAAGGTTCTTCTCGTGGGGCGGCAACGACTCGCGCAGCTTCACGAGCTCGTCGTACTTCGAGCCCATCTTTTCCACAATCTTGTTCAGCTTGCGTTGCGCTTCGGGGCCGCCCCCTGCGGCCACTTTGGTCTTGAAAGACAGAAAGTGACGTAGCAGCTCGCACACGTCGTGAAACTGGGTGTACACCTGCTTCTTGAACTCGTTCGGGATGTACTCAGCGGCCAACTTACCGCTTGCGAGGTTTGCCGCTGAAGAGGCTGAAGCTGAAGCGCTTGTCGAGTCCGAGCACGCAACAACCTCGGCCAGCACGTCAAAGCATGTTTTCGAGCTTGAGTACGCGCTCTCCAGCTTGATGGGCGCCCTGCACGTCGCTCGAAACACCTTTGCCACATCGGATAAAGGAAGCTGACGTGCTGCATCGCCATTACCAGCAGCATCCTTCTCTGCATGCTGGAAGTAGCGCGACTCATCTTCCAACGTAAGCGGGTTGTATGGAGGAGGAGCTTGATCATGTAGATCGTCCAGTAGCGTTGACTCCTTCACACTATCATGATAACCTGCTTTGGGCTTCGTTTTCTGAGGCAACGGCTGCTGAGCATTGCTTCTCCCTGCCCTTTGCTGCTGTAGTTTTCCTGCATGCGCTGGATCAAGCACATAAGCACCATGTCGATTGAACTTGGCAATGGTGATACCAGACAGGTTTTCCTTCTCAGATATCCGTCGTTTAGCAGGATGCACCGCCGCATCTTCCTCGGTCGTCGTGAGGTCAACCAAGGGATCCACAATACCACGAGGGTCTACACTCACATTCTTGGACTCTTCTTTCTCCTTCTCCTCATACTTGGTGAACATGTCTTCATGTCCAGCTTTCCGATCACGATGAAAGTACTTTGACTTGAAAAACGCGCCCCAGAATTCTGTTTCCGTCATTTTATCAGGCACTTGTCCCTGGTACGCCACGTGTACAGCTGGATACTGAACGAAGATCTGGTGAATAACTTCTGCGTTCAAGTTGTACTTGACCACGTTCCCGCCCGCGTCATTTTCGGCAGCCAAGTCCGTCAATATCGCCGATGTCTTGCCCGTCTTCTGCCGTTTGCTGGCTTCGCCTGCAATCAAGTGCCGACGACTCGCCCAGAAATCCTCTTCAGAGATCAGACCGTCATTCACCATCTCCATGTGCTGCCTCTTGAGCGTAGGGCTAGCAGCCAGCAGCGCCGCTCGTTGCTTGATCTCGGTCGGACTGCACAACGCCGCCGCATTCGAGCGCGCCCCATTGGAGCGCAGCCGATGGGCAATAAAGTCCTTGGCGCGTTCCCGCACTTGAAACGCTTCCACCATGTTGCCACAATTGGCGACAAACTCCAATACGAGCGTGGCATTGTGTGCGAGACGGAGACGAATCATGGCTTTGGGACTCGAGAGCGACGAGACTTGCTGCCCCTGGACGGTGCTCCACGGCACAACTATAGGCGCGTGAGGGCTTGGCGTGTCGGGAGCTACATCGGCAGTCCAGCGCAGTCCCTTGGGCGAGAGCTCGAGGCGGCCATCTCGCTTTTTCACCCGCACGAGCGCGACGAAAACGTCCGACATGTTGCGACTGGGCCGTAAGTTTTAAAGTGGCGAGTCGATCGTGATGTGAGACGCGCAAGTCGATATCAGATACGAGAGTTTCGCGGAGTTCTACCACTCGACGTTGGTTAGCAAGATCGTGGAGCACAAGTATCGAGTATCACGGATGAAGGTGACGACTGCGCACTTGACGACCCGATGCGCATTTCAGAAGAAAAAAACATGACAACGACGCTGGCGCTGTTGGCAGTCGTGCTGCTGGCACGAAGCTGCGTGTGCGGAGACGAGTACCATCGCCACACAAACAACTGGGCAGTCATTGTAATGTGCAGAGAGATCAGAAGAAGAACAAGAGCAGCTATCGAATCCACTGTCACGTGTCCTTACAAGTCTATGTCCGTCTGCTGCTAGGTGGACACTTCTCGTTTCTGGAGCAATTATCGACACGTGGCCAATGCGCTGTCGCTCTACCACTCTGTGAAACGCCTTGGTATCCCCGATAGCCAGGTTTGATGTTAGAGCTTGTAGTAAGCTGTGTGTATATGACTTGTATACTGACATGCCAAAATGTGGTCAATATAGATTATCCTGATGCTGGCCGACCAAATGCCATGCAACGCTCGCAACTGCTTTCCAGGCCAAGTGTTCAACAGTCGAACGCAGAAGATTAACCTGTTGAGTCACCTTCTGCTTTGTGGTTGCTGCTTCGTTAGTCATCTCTTTGCGGCGGTTTGTGGAGGATCTGATACGTTCATGTTACTGTTTCTTACCGCAGATACGGAGAGAATGTCGAAGTCGACTATCGTGGGTTGGAAGTCTCTGTCGCCAACTTCATTACTGTCCTTACGGGTGAGTGCTTCTTTGAATGTAGTTAGAGGCTGGGACTCGCTCTTTATGCATTGTACGGTTGTATGAACACGACGCAGGCCGCCACGAGCCCGGGACGCCAGCTTCAAAGAAGCTTGACACGGACGAAAACAGCAACATCTTTGTACGTCATTATAGCAGTATCAGGTGGAAAGCTCGTTTGTGTGCCTTTTGCTCACGTGGCGTTGCTTGTATGTGCAGCTATACATGTCCGGGCATGGTGGCGATGGCTTTCTCAAATTCCAGGTGCGTGCGTTATCCACTAATGATCGTCCACATTGAATGCTAACGTATCTTATTGTGCACTTCTACCGATTCATCCAGGACTTTGAAGAGATCTCCAGCCAAGACTTGGCCGATTCCATACAGGAAATGCACGTCAAGAAGCGGTGCGATCAGTGCTATTTACCCTGCGTATGACACTGAATCTCTGATACAACGCGTTGATCATGAACAGCTACAATGAGATTTTCTTCATGGTCGACACGTGTCAGGCGGGATCACTCTCTAACGCCCTTGAGTCCCCGAAGGTCGTGACCATCGGCAGCTCGCAGACCGGCGAGAACTCGTATGCACACCACTCGGACTCCGAGGTTTGTCCGGTGCAACTTAATTTCCCAGTCTTGTCGCTTTCTTGACGCGTGGTGCTTGTGCAAATACAGTTGGGACTATCAGTCATCGACCGCTTTACCTTCTCGACACTAGACTACCTGCAGCGAATGAAAGTCGGTAGCTCAATTCGAAATGGGACACTCCGAGACCTCTTCAACTTCTACGACCCGAAGATGCTGTTTTCCACGCCTGCTTATCGTACCGATATCTTGGGCCGCCCCATTGACGAGGTGCTTATCACAGACTTTCTTGGCTCGATATTGGACGTGCACCTCCACTTTGACGAAGAGGCGTATCCGGTCGAGGCCACTCCCATTTTGAGCTCCGACACCACGGCGACAGACAACGTGTTCGACAGCTCGGCTGTGTTAGACTTTCCTGTACAGCACAGCAAGGAGTCCGCTCCAGCTGACGGTCGCAAATTCGGTTTCTCTGGAAAGTTCTTGGTTGTGGCCGCTATGGCCATGATTGGGGCTGTCTTCGTGAGCACAAAACCGATCTGATCGAAGAATACCGAGTGCTGACCTTCTCGCATGTTCGTGTTTTTATAATCCGTTCACATAGTTGCAACTTATCATTGGGAACCAAGCACAAAGATGAATAACATAAATCACGAAGTTACTAAGCGCCGATCGATCGAGAGCAAAGGTCTGGGACCGGCATCTCAACCGTATCCCCGCTGGTTACAGTTGTTCGTGAGGTGCGCACGTCGGTAAATGGAGTTAGGATGATGTAGACTTGTTTCTTCTTCTTCTTCTTCTTCCGTCTCATCTTCTTCCGTTTCGTGTCTGGATCCCGTCCCAAGCGATGAAGAGTAATTCCGTATCATCAAGCGAACAAGCAAAAGCGCGATCCCAGCACTCCAAATTGGTGACAAACAAATGCTGAGCGCGATCAGCAACGGGCTTATCAGCATGACAAACGGTACACAAATGACAGCCGTGAAGTACCAGACAATCCACGGCCGCACCTGAACAGCAACAGACAAATTCTCACTCATCAGCAGGCAAAGCACGCGCGATCGATCGATCGAAGCCTGAGTTCCAAACAAACCTTGGCAAAGAATGCAGTGTCTTGAATAAACCTTGGCACCGCGATGCTCGCGACACGATTCACCACCGCGCTACTCAACATTCCACACAAAATGTAGCCATCAGTCTAGTCCCAACACGCGCTCATTCAGCAAACAGACACACAGAGCTTCTCATGCTGCACTCGCACGCACCGGATCTTGTACACCGGCTGGAGCACGAGCGCGAGCTTGGACCTGACCGTCGTCACAAGTTGCTTGCCCGGCCTTTCAACGAACTCGTCTCGTTCATCGTATGCCTCGTGCCGCTTCAAGTGGAGCTTCATGAGCTGTGGCGTGTACGGCGTGTTCAGTGGCGTCCGGTCGTTCCGCATCACTCGCTGAATCAAATCATAGCAAAAGGTGCAAGTGTGAATTGTCAGCCTGGGTGAACGGCTCCCTTGGATTCAACACTATTTTAATACTAGCCACAGTGCACGCACCACCATTGGCTGCAATCCGACGCCGTGCTGCTTGCGCTGTACGTAAGGGTCCCACTCGATGTCCATGCTCAGTGGCGCGACGCTCTCGGGATTGTAGCCAACGCTGCCATCCAGTGGTCCTGTTGCAAGTAGTTAGTTGGTCTTCATCGTTTTTGTCATCGCTCATGTTGAAGCTACGGTTCTTGATTGGAGCTGTTGCTCAAGCGTACCGTAGACAGCAGCAGCTGCTGGTACCCGTGCCAGCATCTTCTCGTCACCCAAGCGGCTTATCGATTGGATAATAGCGACTGCGAACACGAGCCGGGGCAAGGCAAAGAATGACGGGCAAAGTCCGGTCTCCTTCGTGGGTTTCGACTTGGAAAGTGACGTGAAAGTGCGTCCGCTGAGGCTCTCGCTCGAGTGCACGGACAGGGCATCTGGTGGACGGTTGTTGATTGACATTCGAGGCCTCGTCCTAATCTAGGACAGCAGCTGGACTGGACTTTGAAAAAGTGATTCGTTCTTGCAGGTCATGGGATGTTCCCGGACCATTAACGGCTTTACGACCCGACAGAGACGTATTCTTTCGAATTACGTATGCGAGGGCTACGGGACTTGGCCGTAGAAAAAGAAGCATAGTCATGATGGTATTACATTGTTCGCAGCCTGGTTAAAGTCACGGCTATAATCTGTCGTGGAGTCACCAAGTGCCATTTCCATTGTACCTATCAAGTTGTACGACTGTGTTCGGGTGTCACATTTTGCATCGCCAGCGCAGTTTCACGTGCGACCTGGTCCATGAACGAGCATCGTACAGTCTCGTGACTGCATATGGACCCAAATGTTGGCTTACAAGAACACCGTTTGTGTGGCAAAAGGCATTCCGTCTGCCAGCTCTACATTTGTTTCGATGCGCCAGCGTGAGACATGGCGCTTCGAGTTATCACTCGACACTTTGGGTAATTACTTATCGCTCACCGCTTTGCATGACACATGCGGAGCCGCAACCTTGTTTGCAAACCTACAGTCTTCTGCTTGCAACCTGCAAAGCGGTTTGTATTGCCGCCCCACACCCGACTTGATGATTCTAGAGGTCCGTCAGGCTCCCGATTCGCTTAATCCATTGCACACTTTGTCGTTCAAGCAAGCGCCGCTCGTTTTCAGGCACCACTGAGCAAGCAGCAAACGATACTGTCTTCTACTCGGTCTTGACACTCTCGATAACGGGTGCCATAGTGTCGCTGCACCACAACCTCGACACTGTCACAACTCATCTCGCTATTCTCGTTTCCGAAATAGCAAGTCACCATCCGGATAGCACTCGGACACTTCTCGTGCGACGGCTACAAAAACAAAACAGCCCGAGCACAGTCTTTTTTCTGTCAGACCGTCAGTCATATCGGCGTCACAACACAGCACATTTGCCATCCCCACCTGATTCTGCCCCGAATATCAAGTCTCGCAGTGTGCACGCCCACAGTAGGACCACTTCGCGAGCGAGCGCGTGCGAAGAGCTCCGTACGCAACGATGGCGCTGGACTTTGACAGCAACGATCAGTACGCGCTCACGCTTCTCTCCAACAACGGCAGCGACGACCAGTACGACGGCTGCGCCAGTGGGAACAACAGTCTCGCGACGCGACCGTACGCAAAGCACGCGGCCGGCGTACGTCTGGAACTCGTATTATCACTTTCTAGAGGTCATTTTGTCTTTCTGTCGAGTAACATGCCATGCATTATATGTTATTGCTACGTGTGACCGTCATAGGCGGACAATGAACACATGCGGACCGAGATCGTGCGACTTGAGAACGTGCTGGCCAGTCGCATCGCAGCCCGTGCCAATCAGGACAAGTCGGAGCTGCCTCTCGAGCGCTCGAGCAAGATTGAAAAGTACGTCGAAGTGATGGAGCTGACCAAGTGCCTTCGTCGTCAGAAGGAGTTTCTGCTGAGTGAGAACCGCAAGCGGCAGCGCTTTGCCGAGAAGATTCAGCAGGCCATGCCGGTGCGTGCGGGAGACGAGGGAGTGGACGTGGACGGTGAAGGAGGTTTTGACTGACGTGTGTGGTTGTTGTCTTTATTGTTGCGTTGATTCTATCTAGCCTTCTACTGATAGCATCCAGTTTATGAAGAACGTCAAGTACCCATCTGATGAAGAGCTGGAAAAGACGTCGCGCGAGGCGTTCTCGGAGATGATGGAGTATCAGGTGAGTGGCGAAGCTACGACGTACATTGACTGGCAGACGAAACGCGAGTCCAAGTCAATGTACATGCACGCGTTCTCGTCAAAGACGTTTGTGGATGAAGACATGGTGCGTATTTTCAATGAGACGTGGGCGATGTTCTACGACGAGACTCAGCAGGAACTGCTACATCGACGACGAAGCAAGTTTTGCGTACGTAATGTTGGTTTAAAGAGGGGCGTTCGTGTGGATCGAACATTGACCCTGTTGATGTGTTGGACTTTGTAGATTCTAAAGAAGCTGAACGACAACATGTACTTGACGCGGAACATTCACCAGTTTATCGGCGAGAGCTTTCCACGCCACGCCATGACGCTAGTATGCCGCATTTCGATTGATCAGAACACGTTCGCCATCATCAGCAAGTCGGTGGTACCGCCCACGAACGATGCACAGCATCTGGTGTGGACCGATGAGTGTTATATGTGGAAGTTTGTGCGGCGAATGGACGTACAGGGCGGATTTGACATCTCGATTCGCGGCAAGTATGGCAGCACGTCGGCTGTGGCAGGCAACCGCTTGCCCATGCTTGAATCCTACTTTCAACTCGTGGACTGGGAGTCGTTGGTTATCCGGCCCATGTTTGACTTCACGACCGCATAGTCTTTTGATGCCGACTAGAAGCAGTTTGTCCGAAAATGTCGAGAGGAAAACATTACGATGGAAATAGAAGTGTGCAGCTACTCTGCTCCCTTTGGGGCAGGTGGCAAGCATTCTCTATTGTTTGATTGCATCCGCGGGGCTGCAAGCGCCAAGTAAAGTGTACGCACGTAACTGCGCATGCTTGTAATTTGCTCTCTGTTTTGGCTGTGTAGACCGTTTTGGCTTCAGGTGAAGCTACATGGCCTTTCTGTAACCCATTAAATGATTGCACACGGGTGATGGAGTTGGTCTAATGTTTGCTTTGCACGATGACCGGGTTACGAACAAATGAAACTGGGTGATCGCAAAACGACGTGTCGTACCAACAGAAACGCATGTCTTCATGAGCTACTCGTTCGATGGTTTAGCAATTGTAATTTGCGATGGATGTATTCTGCAAAGCGGTAACATCTACAAGACATTGCAAAGCAAGAAGCCACACCGAGTGTCTCCTGTGTTTGTTGTCCTGGAACACCGAAGTTCACCCAGACCTGTTCACAGCTCTTCAGCCCTGTGTCATTCTGTAAAATTGGCGCTGTAACAGTAGACGTATACCACGAAGGTTCTATGCATACGCTTCAGCATCGCAATACTTAGATGGCTGCAGTTCAACCATGGAGCCAGTACTATAGTGCCATCACTTGCTTTGTCGATAACCTAGCCGTAGATACCCGAGTCTGCTAATAGCGGTTCGTAGTTTTCCACCGATAGCATTGCCAGTAAACGTTTGTCCAGCGTCAGATAAATGGGAATCAGCTCTGCAGCAAAAAATACTACGACGAGTAGCATTGCCTGTGCCTGTGCCATCATCACGTGTCGCCGATTGAGTGAGCTCAAAACCTCCAATAAAATTGCTCTGAAGTCGTACCGAGGCATCTTCGTGATGTACATTGAACCATCCCTGTTTAGCATAACAAAGACGCAAAACACAAGGGGTCATGTCCTAAGATGGACAAGATAGGTTAGCTGAAGTGATTGATACGTCAGTCACCTTGGTAAATGTGAGAAGTGTCATCACGCTGTACAGGATACGTCCGACACTCCAGGCCATGACGAGTCGGCCCACCCACTGGAGTCGAAGCTCCGCCGATTGTGACTTCATTGGAAACCCCGACAGAGAAAGTGTCAAATACACCCACGTTGAAAAGATGATGATCGGGAGAAACAGGTCTGCAGCCGCCACCAAGTAGAAGATCGTCTCGGGGATCTGGATCATTCGTACACTTTGTCAAAGAGAAGATTCTTCAGCCCACATGAAGAAGAACACGACGTACGACACTAAGACGATCTTCCTTGTCGTCATCAAAGATCCCACTCTTGTCATAGAGAAATAGACTCGCGTAGAGCACCAGCTGAGTCAAATACAGCCCTCCATTAAAGACGAGATAGAAAATCATCCACTTCCGTCTGAACGCCGCAGCAGAAAACCAATGACGTCGCGACTACAATAGCCACCATCCGACAAAGTTTTACAAAGGTGCAAGTCCACCAGCCAATACAATGAGTGCTCACCTACCGACTGGAAAGTCTCCGCCCACACGAGAACCAGTAGTAAATAGGACGACACAAAGAGGAAATCAGGCAGATTAAACAGCACGGCTACGACTTTATTGTAAAAGTCCAGCTCAGCCTGGGCGTGACTTCCGGTCGTGTCCAAAGACGCCCCATTTGCGTCTTCTCGTCCGGAAGTAAGTGGAGGTGCATCATGCACCCATGGATTGTTACTTGAGATCCCGGTAGGCAAATCGGCTGCAGCTTGGGAGTCCAAGATGCACAGAGTGGAAAACGTGGCTGACCGGAAGAAAGAGCCTAGGGCCACACTAAGCACCAACAGCTGGACGGTACTCCACGTAGTATGTTCATGACGTCTGAGAACGCGTCGCACTTCAAGGTACTTGTTCACTGTCATTGCTGTTACCAGGACGTAACACAGCGCCAAGAAGTAGCTGGACATGGCTAAATTCGCAAGGAATAGCGGCATTTTGTGACAGTTTGAGGCTCACGTCCCTTCAATGCTAGGGCCGATTTTTATGTCCAAAGCTGATTCAAAACGAGATAATATCCATCGGTACACAGGTGGATTGGCACAAAGGAACCAGCCCAGTAGATATGTCATTACTCGCTACTTTGGGCACCTGCGTCCCCTGCTCGAGCCTTTTGTGTAGCTTTCGCTTCATCTTCAAGAAACTTTAGATCAAAGCAATTGCGCTCGATTGGGTCCTTGTACTCGAGTCCCAATGCAATGAACACGTCGACTTCCGATTCGCAGATGACGCTGTCGCCAAGCCGCACAGTCGTCCCATGTGCGCGCATCACTTGAGTGAGCGCTCGGTCCGAGAGACTCCATCCATTCTTGTGCGCGAATAGCCGCATACTTCGGTTGAAGTGGTCGCTACCAGTAAAGTAGAGGATGGCAAAGCCAAAGAAATGTCGGGGGTAGACCTTGACATCCAGGCGACGGTACGGGCGATCCTGTCGGTATTGGCAAACAAGGGATTACGCAGTAGGATGAACAGGGTGAACGTTGCAATATGTCCGCAAGACCGACGCACCTTAGAGACGCGACAAACACCCATGTACGTGTCGCACCCTCCAGCCTTTTGTTTTTGAGAGTGCATTAGATCGTCTGTCCATATTAGCAAGAAAGCAGAGTAAGCATGCACCAACACAAATCGCGTGAGGACACCAGGGTGTTCGTTACCAGTCAAGAAACCTGAAGCATGAAGGCGCTCAAGCAGTCCCGGCAAAACATCGCACGAGTCAGCATCTGGATCGGTGATGAGAATATCGCAATCGCCGGAAGCCGACTTGCCGCGACGATACGATCCACAAGCCAGTGCAGTAGCATTTGGTATCATCTGGTGAACTTCGTCGGCAACAATCCGCTCAATCTGCTGTACCTCGGCTCTAGCATTGGACACGAAGCTGGTGTTCGTAAACGGTCGTTTGCATCTCCACGGTGTCTACTGTCAACATGATCATGCGACGTACCGCGGAATCTTCGTCAGGAAATCTTCGTAGTGCTTCACCCCAATCTTTTGCTGGGCTGTCAAAACGTCAGCAGCTTCGGGCTTTCTGAGATCCTCAATGGATGTGTATCCCATCCGATAAAACTTTGCTGCTGTAACTGGGCCAACTCCCCATATGCGAGCAATCTTGACTAATGCACGAAGCCGCGGGTTCTTCTTCTTTGCATCGAGCTTAGCTAGTCGACCTGTCTCCAAGATTTCGGTAACTTTGTCGCGTAGGCGCCCCTTTACCCACTGCATATCCTTGAAGTCTTTTGCGCTACAAACACGATAGCGTGTGGCTTTCAAGCTCGACACAACTTTCTGCCGACAGGAAACATGCTGCAATTGTTAGTAGCGAATGTCTGGCTGGCACTACAAGTCCTGCTTACCTTGTACATGTAATGTCGCCATACATCTCGCTCGACATCGAGAAACTCCATCATTTCCTCCAGCGGATCGGTCAAGTGAGCGTTGAGGTTTTGATGCACAGCTAACCATGGCACGCAACAATTCTCATCAATACTTTCCAGGTGAGAGAGTACAACAAAGACCAAAGACTGACCGGATGATCGCTGACAGATAAACCCTTCTCCAATGACCTTTTTAGAGCTTGCGATTGCTCCCTCTGTGATCGGGCGAAAGTGTGGGTTGTTCTTGTAGAAAACAGGGACTCGTTCTTCCACCAACCTTTTGTTCTTCTCGTCCAGTTCAGCCTGACGCTCACGAAATACCTCATTGTCCATCGTCACCGGATCTGCACGCACGATTTCTTGGGTGTCCGGGTTTTCTGAATTCGAGCCTTCGTCACTATCACTCTCGCTGTCGTTTCGTGCTCGAGCTTTCTTCGCCTCTACTTGTTGGGCTACTTCAGCACAATGCTGTTCATGTATTGCTGCTTCGTCTTGAATGTGCTGCTGCTCAGACCATGTCAGCAATAAGCCAGCAGGCGGACGCTCATTTTTCTGCAACATGTACGCCAGCCATTCCGGCGTGTACGCCTCGATGTTGGGTGGAGGGAACGTTACAGCACGCAAGAATCCCGCTGCCTTGTCGGCCTTGAGCCCAGCACTTGCAATGATTATGTCACACTCATTCCACTTTGCTGCGACGGCATCATGCGACCCAGCACCGGTCCTCCACTCTGTCTTTGCTTGAGCATCTACCACGCTTCCACCTAATTTGTACACCATGCCTTGCAGAACCTCCAAGCGTTTCCGACTCATGTCGGGTCCTACCGGGACCAAAAGTACGCGCTTGCCATCCAATAACTTCCCATCGGAATCGACAGGCACAGTAGGTGCCGTACGTTTAGACTTTTTAGTCGCTGCCCCTCGGGTCTCGTGTTGTACGAGCCGCTTGTCTCGTTGGAGTGCTCCGAGCTTCTTCAAGTCACGCATTTCCACTGCCGTTCCGTTCACTTTGCGTTCAGCCGTTGATTGTCGCATTGGCCAACGCTCTTTTTCATCGGTAGAGCAGAGGATTGTTGCGCAGCGTCTCGTCTCGTTCACGTCTCTCATATCACGGTTTCGTCGCTCGTATTTGACTTCAGACGTCGACACGTTGGTAGGTGCAACACCTCTTAGTCCAGTCGAAGTACTTGCGAATCGACTAGACCGACGGAAAGTTGAGGTATCCCCACTCTGTGTGGGGTTGACTGACCAAACCGTGATCATTTGCTACGATTGTCAGACATGAACAACAGTCAATGGGTCGAGTTCAGCAAACTACTCTTGAAGAAGCTCTTCGTGTGATAGTAAGACGGAGGCGTCACTAGTAAAGAGATCGGATCCAAGTGAACACAGCCTATGCAGCAACGAAAGTGGCGGCACTGCTCACTCTGGTGACCGCTGCAGTCGTAACAGAGCAGTACCACCCTGCTCGATGATAGCCATGCACGTTTCCGACACCATCGATCGCGGAGGTATGTCATGGCGTACAGCGTTGAGCACTCGATCGACGTCAAGCTGGCCAACTCGATCCGATAACACCGAAAGGCTTAGTGAATAGAGAGAAATAGCGGCCCGAGGCAACGGGCCAACGAAGGTGATCACGCGGGGGCGCTATGCGTATTACTACCGTTGACAACGTAGCAAGTGAACAGGGTACTCCATCATCGTGGACACGAGCACAATCGTACCTGGCTCAGCCAGTATTCATTCATATGCTCGTTCTGTAAGAAGTCCCCACGTCCGCTTACTGTGCCTGTAGCGGAACATCGGTCCTAGACAAACTCGTGTACGTTTGTGTCCTTACCGAGAACTTGACTCACCCTCTGTCCGCCCCGAAACGAGACCCTTCTCTCCATCCCCTGTATAGCAGCTCCTTTGTCAAACCGTTTCTCCTCCCCCTCGTCGCAATAGCTCCACAACAAGAGATGGGAGCTACAGCCGACCAGAGTGCAGCGCTTGGGCTGTCGTTCACGGCACTTTGCTCCGTGTTGAAGACCATCGAGGCCACAAGTAAAAGCGACACGAAGTTGAGTCTGCTGTTTAGCGCAAAGCTGCGTGCCCAAGTGGGCAGGGGTGACCTTTACCCGCTCATTCGCTTGATCCTCCCTCAACTGGACCGAGAACGCACTTACTTGCTCAAAGAGAAGAAGATCGCCAAGCTTTACATCCAGGTGCTGGGTCTTGCCCCCATAAGTAAAGATGCACAGAAGTTGGAGCACTTTAGTGATCCGAAGATTGTCGATAGCAACTCGGTCGGGGACTTTGCAGCTGTGCTCTATGAGGTCGTGCTCTATCGAAGTGGAGCGAGTAAACTCAAGCCAAAACACACGATTCAAGACGTCAACGAGCTGCTGGATACGCTCGTCCAGGCTGACAGTAATGCTGCGAGGAAAAACGTGTTTATGAAGCTAGCAACCGAATACGCAGCAGAGGAGCAGAAGTGGATTATTCGCATCGTGCTGAAGGATCTGAAGATCGGATTGAGGCATGAGCGCGTGCTCAAGTTTATCCATCCGGACGCCATGGAGATGTACAATCACACGAATGACTTGCACAAGGTCTGCACAGACTTGCGCAACTCAGCGGTGAGGTACGTGCCTCAGCTGGAACCGTTTCAAGTCTTCACGCCGATGCTCGCGAAGAGAGTGAATTTCGGAGAGTGTATCAGTGCAATCAATGCCGATGCATTTGTCGTAGAGCCCAAGCTAGATGGAGAACGGATCACGTGTCACCTGCAAGGGGAGCAGGTGCAGTTCATTTCGAGGAATGGGATCAATTACACGGAGAGCTACGCGCCATCGATAAAATCACACGTGCTGTCCCAGCTGGAGCCTGGCGTGGATTGCATCTTGGACGGAGAGATGATGGTGTGGGACAACACAGAGTACCGGCTTCGTGAATTCGGCCTGTTGAAGCATACTGCCAATGCAGTGCGCAAAGGAGAAGCTACGAACCGTTGGCTGTGCTACGTCGTGTGGGACGTGGTGTATCTCGGAGGTCCGAAAGCGGAGCAGTTGATACGTCAGGTGTTTCAAGGTCCTGGTGAAGTGAGTGCCGTGATGGGTCTACCGCTTGTAGCACGGCGAAAATTGCTACTCCGAATCCTTAAACCGCTGGACCACCGGATCATTCTGATCGAACAGAAGCTCATCAATGACAAGTCAGCGAAAGAGAGACATGAACGAGTCATGGCTGAGGTCGATCAGCAGGTCTTGAACGGAGGTGAGGGGTTGATCATGAAAGATCTAAACGCACACTACATGTGTGGAGAAAGCAGTAGGAAGTCGAAGAAATGGCTGAAGCTCAAGCCGGATTACGCGGGCATGACAAACGATCTCGATACTCTCATTGTTGGTGGACTTTATGGCACGGGACGGCGTCGTAGCGGCAATGTATCGGTGTTTCTGCTTGGCGTGCTCGCACACGCGTTAGACGAAAACGAAGCAGCTGAAGCAATGAAGCCGGGTGCTCCGTGTCCAGCGGTGTACACGTTTGCTAAAGTGGGTACTGGATACAATCTGGATGAGCTAGAGCAAATGCGACAAGAGCTGGAACCGTACTGGCAGCCATGGGACGACAACAACATCCCGCCGCATTTGAACGGCTGGAAGCCGCAAAAGAGCGACCTGAGACCTGACGTTTGGATCGATCCACGGCACTCGAAGATTCTTGAAGTGTACGGATTCGAGCTGTCATTTACAACGCTGTACCAGACCGGACTGACGATACGATTTCCTCGGTGCAAAGCGATACGCAACGACAAGGAATGGTATCAATGCATTGATCTTCAGGATCTAAATGCTGCTCGCGGAAGCCTCTCAACGAAACGTGCGTCAGAGGTAGCTCTGGGCCAAAAGAGTATTGCGAAACGCGTCAAGAAGCAAAAAACAGTCTCACCTCGTCGTGCTAGTGGCGTTCTTGAGGAGTACACTCAGGCGGACTTGGACGGCATAGAACCAGAACGGAACCTGTTTAAAGGGAAGGAGTTCTGTGTGCTACCTGGAAAATACGATCCACCTCCACCGAATGTTCGTTTGGCGATACGTAAAGGTATAATCGACGAGCATGCCACGCAACTGTCCAAGCAGACTATTGAGAAGCTGCTGCACGCTCTTGGAGGTCATGTTGTGCAAAACCCGATTGAAGGCACGAACTATGTCGTTGCAGCTGGCGATGCTGGATTCAAGGTGGCTAATTTGAAGAAGCAAGGAGTGTACAACATCGTGCACATTAGGTGGGTATACAGCTGTACAGCTGCTTCGCGTGTGGTGTCACCGAAAGCAAGCGACTTCGTGTTCGCAACTGACTTACAGCGACAAGCCCTCGCCAGGGAGTATGATTGCTACGGAGATCATTTCACCGACCATATCGGTCCAGTCGATTTCAAAAACATCATGCAAGAGGTTCACCGTCAGGCTGGAGCAGAATCGCAGGCACTTCCTTGGCAGCTCCTAATGCGAGACTTGGATATGGAAGAAGCCGAGTCGATGAATGGTGCCTTCACTTTCTTGTCCCATTGCGTGGCGTACTTCCAGCACTGCAACAACCCGAACAGTTCGGTCCCTGGCGCGAACACAATCTGGGCTGGCGAAGCAAAGCTGCTCGAGCAGCAGTTCAGGCTGTACGGAGGGGTAGTTGCACACGAGGTTGATTCTGCTGTTACGCACATTATCATCGACTCGACTGATCAAGCACAGAAGGCACAACTTTTGCCAGCGCTTCGAGCTTTGCGCCACCAAGGTTTACCAGAACCTCGAGTCGTTACAAAGGAGTGGGTCCAGCAATGTGTGGAAGAGCAAACTCAGCTTCCCGTGGACGACTTCGCTGTGCGTGTTTAACACGCAAACAGATCTCAATTAACAGAACTGCAGACGTGTAATTTATGTTCAGTCGCGAGGCTCGCTAGTTTATTGGAAATGAGACGCATCGGCACACCAGTCAAATTCTCCTAAGAAGAGCTGGTTTTCCGTGTCGCGCGGTCCTGGTTCCTTATACTCAAGGTGGCCTTTGACCTGCTGCAAAGTGAACTGGTCTTCAAAATTAGACGTGTCCAGTTTGCTCGCCAACTTTGGCACGATCGGTGGCTTTACACGCTTCGTCTCAAGTCGGTTCCAGCTGATACTTGCAAAGAATGGGTGGTCGAAAATGTCCTGCATGCCATTTGGACCATTGCCTAGACGTTGGCATACGTCTTTGTGCAGCAACCCCGATAGGAAGTCGCAGAGCTCGGGTGAAAAACGATCGGAAAAGCGTGGCTCCTCCTCGTTGATCTTGCGAAAGAGTGAGGCACGATCGCGCGGTGAGTAGAATGGAGGATAGCCCGTCAGCAATTCATATACTACACATCCGAAGCTCCACAGATCAGCGGCGAGGCCATAGCCATCACCGCGTATCACTTCAGGAGCGACATAATCAGCTGATCCGCAGAAACTAGAGCAGTTCTGATCCAATCGATGCACGTGCTCGCGAGCAAAGCCGAAATCAGCGAGACGAACAAAACCTGCCTCGTCAAGCAAGATGTTCTCGGGCTTTAGATCGCGATACAGAATGCCACGTCCGTGCAGATAATGCAAGGCGAGCGCGATTGAAGCCGCATAGAACAACACGTGGTCTTCAGCAAGGCGGTTGTGTGGACACTTTTCAAGCAAGAAGTACATGTCTCCGCCATGACAGTACTCAAGCACAAAGTTGAGCGCGTCCGGAGTTTCAAACGAACAGAACATCTTGATGATGAACGGATGGTCCACCGAGCACAGCACCTCCTTCTCTGTCAACAAGCGTTTGGCCTCTCGAGTCGGGTTCCCGTCGCCGTCTAGACCGTTGAAGCTGCCTAGCTTTGACTTGTAGACTACCTTGACCGCAAAAAGACGGTCAGGGCACGCACGTAAACGACACAGAAGCACCGTGCCATAAGTTCCAGAGCCAATGATTCGAACAATGTCAAACACGTGACGCGTGAGAGCTCGACAGCCTGTAACTTCCTCTTCCGTCCTTTCATCCGCGGTCTCAATGTCGTCAAGGAGTTCGTCAATCGAGTGACCCAACTCCGCCGCGTCTAACAGTAACGTGCTTGACGACGACGACGCTGAGACCCTTGGTCGCAATGCTGCAGGCTTGGGACGGTTGTACGGGCAGTCCCAGTCCGTTGTATGGGGCCCCTCCACTGACGACGACGTTGTCCTCGCACTTGCAACTGGCTGCAAGCAACTGTACGAACAGTCCCAGTCATTGCTTTCCACTCCCCCTTTGCTTCGTTCATCGTTTTTTTTCAGTGTCCTCTCACTAGTCACCGCCACCGGATCCTCGTCCTCGTCCTCGTCTTTGAGTGACGCTTTGGCAAACGAACTGGCCAGCAACTGGGCAAATGTCCACGTCTTGACGCTCTCCAATATTGTGCTCTCGTTGTCAGCCGCTTCGGGACTCGTTTCGGTCTTGCTGGACGACATTGAGGCTCGACGTTTGGTGTCGCTCGTTAAGGACTGCAACACTGGACGACGTCTTCCTCGACTGTTGTTCCCTCTTGACGACAGCAATGAGCAATACTAAGCATGAACGGGGCACGCGGTGCCCTTACAGATACACGAAGGTAGATCCTCGGAAGTTGAGAGAAAAGCAGATGTGATGGAGGAACTGGAACTGGTCGGCTGGAGAACGGGAGGAGGGATTGGTGAACAAGTGGTTGGAAAGACCTAACTGAGACTTTGCATGCCTCGAGCAACTGCTTGAGCCGAGACGCAGATAAGGTGGCGTCATCATCGAGCTCGATGACGGTTCGTTGCTCCTAAATGGTTATGTAACCAGGTGCAGCGTGGCATTCATTGAAGCGCACACGACGCTGCCGTAATAAAGTGGTGGACAGCAAGGATGTGTTCTGTACGAAGTGTCGCTCGTTTCTTGTATGTATGTCTGTTCGTTTAAATGCACCGCAGATCTGTCAAGCGTGTACTATAGGCAGGTCTGCGTTCGTTGAAACTTGTAGATGCACGATGAGAAAAGAAGTAGACAACATGGTTGTCGAACTTTGTGTATTTTCTGGAGCTTAGCTTGCTGCGCGACTGTGGTTTACGTCAGTGTCAATCTTGTCTGGAACGACTTTCGAACAGGAGCGTAGCTGATCCCACGGCTAAATTTAGTGCAACACTCTGAATGCTTTTTGTGTATCCAGAAAGTCCCTTAGTAGCGAGTCTTCGAACAAATTTAGAAACAGTTGGTTACATAGGACACGTGAGTCATGGATTGACAAGTAACATCTGCAGCAGTCATGTACGCTCAATACGTGTAATACGACACAAGTGGAGCTCCATTATGAACAACAGGGCGAAAAACACACAAATGCATATGTTCACTTGCACTTTTAGCATGACTGTCATTCTTCGTCTGTCTAATGTCATTCTACAGCAAATGCACCTAAATTCTACCCATGTGCCAGTGCAAGTTACTCTGCTGCTGCAAGATCAGGCGCCACCTGCGCGCCTGTATGACTGAACCTTTCAAGTCGACTTCACCTCATCACGCTGAAGCAGCGTTGTAGAGCGCCCACGACCGGGTCAGACCATCATCCATTGTCGCGTTCATCAGTTTGTACAACGAATCCATTTTGTTCACGACCGCTGCATTCACCAACAACAATGACAACCACGTGTTGTTACTGTTTTCCATGGTGACGATCGGTTCCTTGGACAGAATCTCGTTCCACTCCTGCATCACAAACGGTACCGTGCGAGCTAACGCATTGACTGGCGACACCGGGATCATCTGGATGCCATGGATTGCATACTTCTCGTTGAGGAACCACGTGTTGTACAACACCTTGTTATCATACAAAATGCCAGTGACGCGGTTCCGCACGATCTCAGGCGGGTGAATCTTATTGTCCGAAGACAGCAAGAAGTACTCACGGACCGTATACGCGTTCAGACGCAGCATAAGACTTCCGAGATCTTCCAGCGCCTTGTGGCCAGTCTCTTTGCCCCATAGAGTCATGCCGTAGTAGAAGTTTAGATCTTCAGACGTGCTCTCCTTATCCTTGCCATGGTCCAGCAGCGTCACGCCACGTGAATACGAGTGTCCGTGATACCACGAGAAATGACGGAACCGAGGATAGATGGGATCGTCCAGGCTTGGGTTGGTTACATCGCGCAGCAACATCCAGATCAAGTCTTCCAGCTCCGACATCCGAGACCAAGTCGGATCCAAGTGCTTGATAATCGCTGCGGGCGTCACATAGTAGCCGAAGTGGTAGTGATGGTCGTTGTAGATCCCACTGCCGAAGTCCATGTACAATTGACCAGTGTCGAAAATCAAACCAGACACGACCCCGCCGTATAGCGTTTCGTAGACGAGAGGAGGCGACATCGTGTTGTTCAGCAGTGGTTCAATCAACGTCTCCAGCTTCTCTATACAATACGCCAGCAGCCCATTCGTGTCCGGGCCAACTACCAAGCTGTCCGCTGCCATTAGACACAACGACGCGTACTTCTGCAAAGCCTTTCCGTTAAAGTACCAACTATTGGTAGCCAGAGTCCAGTTGGCATAAATGTCGTCTTGCAAGGTGCGAAGCATGTCAGTTTCTCGGACAAGATACGATGACAGTCTTTTTCGATCTGGATAATAGTCAATTTCGATATCTGCCTCAGGTACGACGAATGACCAGCACACTGACACTTGGGCCACCATCAAACCTCGCGTAGTTGAGTTAAGCATGATGGCACCCGGCGTCTCAGCTGTAATCGGGGATCCAGTCATCGACTCGACCTGGTGCGGTAGTGCAAAGTGCAGCAAACCCACAGTGTCACAGCTGCTGCCTTCAGCATCCCAGGTCAGCGAGTACTGCGTGCGCGATTCCATCGAAACAGTACCGCCCCGTACGATACACGACACGTAGTCATCGTACAGTGTGTCTGCTGCACCTTCTGGTAGTATCGCAACTCGTATCGTGCCTGCGTACGTATCGTCCGCGACAAGAGACGATCCCGATGCGTTCATAGAGAAGTTCACCGACTCTTCCACGCGCAACGAAAGACTCGTATCACTGGCGTATAGCACCCACGTCTGGTTGTTGCTGAGATACACAATGAACTTGCCTGGCACCGATTCGTCCACAAATGTGATGTTGTACTCGGTTTCGATGCGCGGAGTGAGACCCTTGTACGTGCCCGACACGAACGCCATGCCGCTCGAAAGTGCGGAGTCGATGCAGTTGATACTACCACGACAGCAAATTCGGAGGTTGATACCCATGTCACTCCACGAGTACACTTCATACGTCGGTCTCGACTCGTTGAACTCTCGTGCCGAGAGCATCAGGTCGTTGTGGATCCCATGTTCGTAATATTGAACAGTGCCGTTGATTTCCGGTGCCATCTCACGATACGTGTAGGGATAGTACGTCTGCAACCCAAACGGCGGTACTTTGGGCAGCATGAACGCGTAAGGCTGAGCCCATGCTGGAAAGTTCTCGGACGTGTTCGTAGCAGTGACGTGAATCAGGTTCCCCCACCACTTGTTTGTCGGGATCGGCTGGTTGAGGGCTTCCGGAGCGACATTAATGATCGGAGCAAGCCGTGCAAGGCTACCGTTCCGTACGTACAGAGTCTCGGACGGTGCATCAAGGCCAAATGGGGCAAAATAGCCGCCACTCGTCAGGTCCGGCCTCGCCCTTGTCGAGCTTCGATGGGGTCTACTCTCGGGACTTGGAGGGCTTGAAGCACGGAGCAGTCTGTTGGTGGCGCCCTCAACGGTTTTCCCACGAAAGTCGAAACCTTCGCCGACATCCGGGTTGTCCACTGACGCTACAGCATTCCTTCCTGCTACCGCAATGGCCACAGCAGCAGCCTGTACCAGGAACTTCATCTCCTGTCCCGAGACCCCAAAGGTGGAGGTGCGGCAGTAAAGCGGCAAAGGAGATGCTGAAGCGAGGTGTCGGTTCGTAGTAAGCGGTACGACGGATAATGAAGGAGGTGGCAAAGGTAGAAGGCTGGATAGGCGTGTCAACCTCGCCATTCCATGAACAGAACGGCATCGTTTTTGCACCGAAGCTTACATGTGCCACATGTTGTAGGGTCGTATAAGGGAGGGGAGCCAAGCTCTGGAACTCGCTCTCTCATGTAAAAAGCTCAGCTCATGTGACTGAATCAAGTTACAAAGCACTACATTACAGCAGCAGACACTGAAGAAGGAGGAGGATGCTGTTCATGTGTGCGCTAACCTAGAAGTGTACTCGAGTAACATGATCCCCCTTTGCTCATCAGTGTTCGCTTACATGCTTGTAGTCACCTTCGATCGATTAGGACAATCGCGACCTAGCCAAAGAGTGGCTTTGAACATACCTGTACCTGGGAAAAGGGGACAGGCTTGATCGCACTGATACGTGTAAGGTACACCCGACCGCGTTATTTATAGACAGCCAAACAGAAAGACACAGTGCCACACAGACAGACAGACAGGTACGCACGATTTAAAACTTCGGCAGTCAACCTTGCGCACACTCACCATTACCTTCACCCTCCAGGCTCGCAATTATGAGAAAGACAGGAGGTAGTGCCGGGGCATGTCTACAATCCTCTTCTCTGTTCAGGACGATAGAGTCGGTGGACAGCAACCTGCTTCTATGAAGGGCGTTGTTCGTGAAGTGATGAGGATGTCTTGGTTCATTTAACGTCTGCGCGCTAGCAGCCTGGAAGAATACATGCATTCCAGAGCATCCTCAATCAGGTAGACCCGAAAGCGGAGGTCCTCTACCCAGGACATCATCGTTGTTCATGCTTATCGTTCGTTACCTCGTACTCTCGACGTGATGAGCGGTCCCGACTGTCGCACATGTTTTCCCACCGAATCTGAGCGCATAGACCAGATCGTGTGCCATTCTATCGTCAAAGCGAGGGAATTTTAGCTCATGGGATTGGACTTCGAATGGGCATGGCCATCGGACGAGTCGACAACGCGACGCAGCACCTGGCCAAATGGTGCATCATCCGTTGCATTCTCCAGCACAAGACAAATGGTTGCAAGCAACTGGATAAACTCGGTAAAAGTGCACTATTATACGTGGAGCTTTGTGCTTGGTTGTTTGGGTGATTTTATGACGCTCAGAAAGGTCTGAGTGTAGGAGAGCCAAAATACATTCGGAAATACATTCGGAATGGCAGGAATTAGAACCTCTGTGGACAGACGAACGAAATGTTAGTAATATCGAAGCAGGTGTTGGCCGACGCAGTCTCATCGTTATGATCATAAGTTGCTGGGAGCTCCAGTACTGGTAGCTCTAAATACACCTACAATAATTGCTGAGAACACCTTCAAGCTTCGTGGGCTATCCATTTGACTTACATAGACTTTTTTGACAAACGCTGAGAAAATATCCACTATTTAGCCTCAGTTAGGCCTCTCTTTCCGTCGTCATAACTTTATCGTCTACACGATGATGAGGCATCATATCTTCATCTCT